AGGTGATGGGTTATCATCCCTTGGTGTATCATATTCGACATTCTAATATTTATGTACTTGGTTGTCATCTTAGGTAGCATGGTTGTTCTCCTAAGGTTTCTGAACTGCACTGGATGCAGTGTATCCCCTACTACCCTTGCTGATATATCATCATTATGGCATTGTTCAGCCTCAAACAGCCTGTAATGCCCATGAGTGGGCTGGCTGTATCTGTGGAAGATCACTCTGCGGTACATCTCCATGTGGATCCAAGTGAGGCTAAAATCCCTTGGCATGGGATGAGGGAGTATATCTCCGCTGCTTTTAATTCTCCTCTCCTGGCCCTCTGGATATTTGGATATGGAATGTATCCTGCCCCTTTGAAATTCTTCTTGTTTCTTGTCTGCGTAAGCTATCCTGGATAAATCTTGTATTTCCTCTTGTGACCAATCTTTGCATTCACGAATCTAGTAACTTGATACCCATTGAACTCTCCAAACCCTCCTGATAGCAAGAACAAGATCAACAATATAGTGTCTATTGAGGATCCTGGGTTGGACCTGTTGTGTTGCTTTCTCCTGTAAGACTGTTTGTCCCTTGCAGGTTTAACACTGCTCTGATCCTGAGTACCATCGTTGCAAGCCCTGAGCTAAAAGCTTTAGAATGGTGGATATCAAGATTAATGCTTAAACCAAGATTATTTTTAAATGCATTCAATATTCAAGAACGAAGTCAAAAATTTAACCAATCAGCAAGTCATGTTAAGATGTACTCTTTAACTTTTGTAAACCCGGTTTTTTTCTAGTGTTGATGGTGTCATATCAATTGAACTGAACATCAATTAAACGAATGTAAGTTTTGGATTAATGTTTATTAAGACTAATGTTCAAAATTACAATAGTCCTAAAATATATTATTATATTTGTTTAAATGCTCTAAAAGCCGGCTTTTGAACAGCTGACTTTAATTCAATTGGATATTGTATCTGTAATTGTTATCAAACGTAACTTTTATACAGTAGAAATATCCAAAAAGAGGATTATAAGAAGAAAATCAAAAGTGTGTACTTTGGATAATCAGAGTAAGCAATTATGATTAAGGATATCTCAGTCTAAAGTTTTCAGCTCAGAGCTGAAAACTTTAGAATGGTGGATATCAGGATTAAGGCTTAATCCACTCTTTTTCTTAATCTCGGAATTAAATATTGCTTGTTTACCTCATGACTTTAATCTTCAGATTAATTATCCGACGGGATATCTGGATATTTCATTCTAAAGTTTTCAGCTCTGGTAGTATTGGCAGGCCCTCTTGTTCCTCTGCGGTTGGTTTTTCTTTGCCCCTGCAAGTACATTTTCTGAATATACAATTCACGCCAAGTTTGCACTGCTTTGGTTGGTCCAGCTTGTCCAGGTCATCTGGACATTCTTCATAAGAAATTCCCTGATTAGTCCAGAGTATTCTCTTGATGACTTCTCTATGCCGCCATATTGATTCACCCTGTGTTGATTGCCACTGTTGCTTATTTTCTTCCCGGTTTACCTCTGCCTCTGCAGTTACTCCCAGCTCATTATCAACGCTGTCATTGATACTCCCTTCATCTTTTGGTTCCTTTACGTTATCCTGCTCTGCCCCATCTGTGGGGATAATATCTAGGGGTGTGATATCCATATGAATGTCCTCGTCATTCCATGTCCTTGGGGGTTCCCTCCTGGTTGCAGGGATCAGATAATCCCTCATCCCTAGTTTCACATTCTTTATCTCTATCTTATAAGGGATTAAACTGAATGCTAACTATTCTAAGCTGAGATTTTTAATGGAGTTAATGGCGCTCCTAGATCTGGTTGACTGCTTGTGGTCTATAGTAGGGAGGGGGTTTGGCGGCTTGATTGTAAGATTTTGTATCTCCCCCATCTTATCCCCCTCCTGTACAGCTGGATGTGTTAGGTCTCCTGAGCCCGCGATTTAAAAAAGTGGGAAAAACAAAAATCCTGTACTTTGCACAGACCTATGGAGGGAGGAGGGTGGTTACAACTTAATACAATATAAGCTTCATATCAATAATTGCATAATAAGCATCTGCATACAATATATCTACAGAGTACAGACTATAGAACAGAAAATAAATTATAAAATATAGATATAGATACAGGGGGAACCTAAAAAATTGAAAGAAACATATACGATGATAACCAGAAAGTTCTAAAATAGGAAAACGACTTTATAGCAGTACTGAAGTGTACTGAGTTATGATCGGACATATGTGGGGGGAATGCAGAAGTCCTCGATCAGTAATCGCCGCAATCTTAGCATTGTGTCTT